ACCTGTGCATGGGACAGCCTTCGTGTGTGAGTGTTCGCATACGTGCACATGCACTTATGAATGTCTGGTGGCTTAGTGATAAGGAGCTGTGTCACTAATCCAAAGGTATCTGGTCTGAATCCACCAGCTGCTCCATAGGAGAAAGATGGACATTCTCCTCCCATGTGATTTACAGCCTCCTAAAAGCTGCTGGAGGGTCAGCTGTGGATCAGTTCTGATTCGACAGTGCTTAACAACAGATCTATGTGTAAGTGTGTGTGAGCATGTCTGTGAGATTGACTGAGAGGATACACATCTGTTTGGGGTGCACAGGAGTGATCTTTTGGGGTTTGTTCTTATCCATATGAAAGTCTGAGAGAGTGCAGCTTCTGCCTCTCTGGAAGGAGCTGCTGGAGGGAGGCTCAGGGAAGGATGCTCTTGGAGTGGTGGGAGAGTTTGGCAAAGGGACTAGGGGAGGGGCCAAGGTAAGATGATCAAGGAGGGATGCTCACAGGTGTTTGTGGAGGGAGTTCACAGGAGAGACTCAGAGGGACACTGAGAGGGTGCTGGTGGAACGAGGCTCTCAGAAGCGTGCTCACAGATAGGGGGTTCATGGAGGGGGCTTTGTGGATAAGGTTTATGGAGGAGGTTTGGGGAGCTTGCAGATGGGAAGCTTGTAGAGGGGGGCTCATGAAAAGGGGTTTGCGGAGGGGGACTGGTAAGAGTTTGGGGGGCTTGTGGAGCAGTGCTGGGACACTCACAGGCGGTGAGGTGTCCGCGGCAGCATTTGCACGGCCTCATCCAGCACCTTTAGGCCACCCTCCCAGTCTCCATGGTCAGCATAGCTGTGGAACAGCAAGCCGTAGAGCGCTGCCCGCAGTGTGAGGTCATCCTCAGCCTCTAGAGGGGTACATTGAGGACAGGCATGGGAGTCTGCCACTGTTGTACCCAGCAGGAGCCCTTCTCTGACCCTCCCAGGGGCAGATCCCATGCCAGGAATGTCAGGTTCCAGGTGAGGCTGGGGGGCGCCTGGGAGGTGAGCCTCCCTTGCTGGAGCCAATGGGAATGTGGACCTCACGGTCCCACAGGCAGCCTTGTCCTCCTGGGTCATGTAGCACATGCTCTGTCCCCAGCAGACAGGCTGTGTCAAGACCTTTGTAGAGATGACCTGGCAAGCATTTACATGTCCATGAGTGACACTCAAAGCTGTCACCCTGCGAGCTGTGTGACTGACCAGGGGCTCAGCATGCCCAGCAGTCCCGGGTCAGTGTGTCCTTGTGTTACCGTGTACCCTGTCCTGACAGGACAGGAGTGTCCATGTCCCACTGACAGGCATCCTCTCTGAGATCTGGTGCCAAGGTCTCCCCGACTGTGAGTGTTCGTAGGGCCTTTGTGACCTGGAAGACGCATGTTCTTGCGCTGAGTGTGGCTCTGTGATGGGTGCATGTTTACAAAGATCTGTAAACAAAGTCGACCACATCCACCTGTACTTTTCTTTTGAGTCAGGATTTCAATGCTAAGACTCCGGTCCAGTGGCTTCTCTCAAGTCTACCCCCCGTTGGTGGAGCAGAGTGTAAACGTGACAGCCCTGTCCTGGGAGTGTGAGAACTGAAGTAATGTCCTCAAGGCTCTGCCTTCACATGTCTACCTGTGCACACTTCCGGTCTCCAAATATCCACCTATGTGTACCTCCTATCTCCACAGTCTACCTGTGTACACGTCCTCTTTCCATATGTCCACCTATGTGCAAGTCCTGTCTCCACAGCCCACTCGTGTGCACCTTCTATCTCCTCAGTCCACCTGTGTGCATTTTCTCTGTCCATATGTCCACTTATGTGCATGTCCTGTCCACCCGTGTGCACTTCCTGTCTCCACATAATCCACCCTTGTGCACTTCCTGTGCCTTCAACCCCTTGTTTGCATTTTCTGTCTCCACATGTCCACTCAGTGCACTTCCTGTCTCCACATACTCACTTGGTGCACTTCCTGTCTCCACAGTTCATGGTCCTTAGCCAGCAGAAACCCCCTTTTCCTGTAGATCAGGACACACCTTCTACCACATAGTTCACTGTCCTGCACACTCAGTGCTTTCTGCTTTTCTGGCAGGTGTAAACCAGCTTTGAGGCTCTGGTCTCTCTGGCCTGCCTTCATCAAGGGCAGAAGGTGAGTTTAGGGGCTGAAGGTAACTCTATGTGGATACTTGGGAATGAAATGGGAGAGCTGGCTGCTGTCACTGTATAAGGGCGACAGTGGGGGCGGGGGATCAGGACAGGGCCCACCAACCGGGGAGAAGATTCCCTTCAGTCATCTCTCCACTTTGGAAGTCTGATGTTGGCCACTGGTGCAGGAGCAGCAGCTTTCCTTGCTCCTGGAACAAGACGGCACAGACGGCATAGTGACACATGTTAAACATCTGCCTACAGAGATGGCAACTATGTTTCTGGCATTTCTACAGAGAGGCTGGGGCTCTGTTCTAAGAGTGTGGGGAGAATCTCACCAGGGCAAGTGCACGCACAGACACGTGCCCGTGGACGCTCACACGTGTACATGCCTGTGAACGTGCATGTTGACATGCACACGCAGGTGCACGTGGGGGGGTGCTCCCACTGAACTTGAGCAAGTTCAGAGTCTTCACATAGAAAGTTGAGACTTGAGCGAGCTCGACATGGGGACCTCCCTTCATAATACCCAGTCACACTAGCCCCCCATGCTAAGCCCCCCATCTTACATGCTAGCTCCCAATGGCCCACTATCCCCTCCCAATACTAGTCCCCCACCTGCTGGCCCCTCCATCACTGACTCCACCAGCCCTGCTGTCCCTCCTCCCCATTCCTGCCCACTGTCGGCCCCACTGTCCCCTTCCGTCCATCCTCAGCCTTCGTCTGGGCAGCTGCTGGCCAGGGCCCCAAGGTTCTACCTTCTTGGCTTCAGTCCTGTTGATGATGTCTATGATTCTGCGGACAGCGTTCTTCACCTTCTTCCGGTTGACCGCGGAGGACAGCAAGGGTGAGCAAGCGTTCCAGTAGTGCCTGGCAGCCAGCATGACCAGGGCACCACTCCCAGCAAGGCCTCCAAAGCTAGCACGGGGTGTGGGCCGCTCAGAGTCTGGGCAGCCGCACCGTCGACTACCCTCTGACAACAGCGCTTGGCTCCTGCTTGAGAGCAAGCTCCTCTCTGCTAGAGGAAAAGCTGTCGGCCCTTGTGACAGGCATGGGGGTCCCTCGCTGAGGATGATGGGGGTCCCCTCTGAGAAGGGTGAGGATCTATCTCTGAGGGCATGGAAAGTCCCTCTCTAAAGATTATGGGGTCCCTCTTGAGGAGCACGATGGATTCTTCTCTGAGGATTACAAGGTCTTTCACTCTCTGAGGAGTAGAGGGGTCTTCTCTCAAGAACATGGGGTCCCTCTGAGGAGTATGGGGGTTCCTCTGAGGCTCACGGGGGATTCTCTGAGATGCATGAAGTCTTCTCTCAAGAACATGGGGTCCCTCTCTGAGGAAGGGGGTGTTCCTGTGACCATGATGTGGGGGGGTGTCAGGGCCTAAAAGTCTCCAGCTGGTCTGCATTGTGTGGAGACTCTACGTTCGCCATCATCAAGGACAGTCCCTAGAGCACCGTCACTCTGCAGAAGCAGAGTCCACTGCATGGCCTCTGTGACCACAGCCCGTACCTCGCACTCTTGATGAAGGCTTTCGCTGCCGTCAGTCGTAGCTGCTTCTGCCCCTTCAGGCTTCTCATAATGCACTTGCCCTGGATGCAGGCAGCTATGCTTAGCATTTCTGCCACCAAGTGGGCCTCTGGCCTGGGAAGAGGGATGCGGTCAGCGCCAGAGGGGCTAGTGAGAAATGAGGCATGGTCTTTCAGCTTGGAGGTTGCAGTGCTGTCCCCCGGGGTCAACCTTGGTGACAGCCCTGCGACAAAGCAGCAGCCATGTCCAGCCCTGGCCCCGAGGCCGGCCTGTGCTGACCACTGTCGTCCAGGGACTGGGGCATCTTGGATGTAGCCTGGGTGAGTTTACCAGCATGTGGAATAGCTGATCCTCTAGTGGGATCTAGAGGCATTAAGTCTCACAGGAGGAATCTGTCCGTCTTCCTCCTTTGGAGCCATGGAGGGTTCTGAACTGCTTGCCTTTGGGTTAACAGTGCAACGCATTACCCACTAGGCCAGCAGAGCTCACAAAGTCAGTACATTCAGGAAGTACTCACAGCAGGCTGGGGTTGCTTGGGGTGCTCTTCTCCACTGAGAATGGCTTTGCTCTTACCCCTCAGGAGATGCTATCATGACAATGACTCTGATAAAGCTCCGGGCAGCAGTTTCTGCTCAAAAGCCTTAAAGTCATGCTGACTTGCTCCCATTCACAGACCCCTAAGTCAGGAGTGGCATCCACTTCCTAAATAACATGCCTCTGGAAACTCTAGAAACTTTGATCAATGTCAATAGTTGTAGAGGGCTTCAGGCCTTTTGTTCATTGGGTCGCTATGAGTCGTGCTCGACTCGAAGGCAATCAACAACATTCTTGACAGGAGGAGACTCTCCTTACAGTAGGAATCACTTTTCAAAAGCCCACATTCAACTCTACAATCGTGATGGTGTCAGGTGTTAAGAGCTCCCACTCCACCCTGCACTTGGTGGGCCTGCTGCTAGGCTGGGTCCCTTGGGGCCGGGGCGGGGGTTCCAGAACCTGCTGCTCTGCCCAGGGGCTCCCTTACGGTGCAGAGATCTTGAGATACTGGATGCCCATCTGGATGGCCTTCTGTGCACACTGCATGGTGAGGTCGTGGTCGTGGGCTGCATAGGCAAAGTGGGTCAGCCGGGTGAGGGTCTGCAGCTCCACCAATGGGTCTGTCCACTCACACTTGGAAGCCATTTTCACCACCTTCCAGCAGCAGAAGAGAGAACACAGCTGCAGTGTGGACTTCCAAGTCCTTGCATCTCAGGGTGAATGTGCCTTGAGCATGAGCCCTGGTCACTGTGGCCCTGGACGTGTCCACAATCATGAGAGACGACTGTGAGCCCACGCTACCCCCAACATATGCCCTGGTCTCTGTGACCCTGGATATATCCACACTCACAAGAGATGAATGTGAGCTCACACTATCCCCAACAGGTGCCCTGGTCACTGTGGTCCTGGACATGTCCCCATGCTCATGAGAGAAAACTGTGCGTCCATGCTACTCTAAGCAGGCCAACTGGTAACTGTCACTTAGGGTGTGTCCTGGGAATGGAGACAGCAGGTACCAGTGGAGACAAGCAGGAGGCCTTGGGGTTCCTCCTGAGTCCTCCTGGGATTGTGCTGAATTCTAGGGGTCGCCTGCTTGGTACTATTACCTTGATCAGGACTTCTGGGACTCAGCTTCTGAATCACGTGTGAGGGGGTTCAGTCCGGGTGGCACTCACCTGTGCCGGGGAGGGCACGGTGAACTCTGTGAGGCCCAGTCCATTGCAAGAGTACAGCTCCAGCGCCACAAGCACCTTCGTCTCCAAGTTGATTTGCTCATTCACACTCTGGGGCAGGCAAAGTCCACTCAGCATAGCTCAGCATGGACACGAGTTCCCAGTGGGTTGGTAACTCGGCAGCAAAGAGGCCACATTCGCAGGTTAAATGTTGGGCCACTACAGAAGCGTTTGTGTCTGTGTGCTGTCCAGTGAGCACAGAGGCGAGCCCCCTCCCTTCCTCTCTGGAACCACAGCCCTAGCTTCTCAGGCAGGGGCAGCTGTCTGGCAGCCCGAGGCTCAGGTGGCCTTGACTTTGCTGGATCAGAGGTACATCATACCTGACCCCATCTCTCCCTTCCCTCCAGTGGCCACATGCAGGGCCCTGCAACAGCCACAAGAGGGAGCTGCGGGCGAGACGGCTCACCACAGCCTGAACTCTGAGTGACAAGTGTGTCCCACCAAGGGGACAAGGAGAGGAGGGGACAGCAGGGGCCTCTTGTCCTGCCTCCCACGGTGCCTGAGAGGCCAGCTTGAAGTAAAACAGGCCAGAGTGTCCTTGAGGGAACGGAAGCCCTTTAGGGTCAAATACTCTTTCCTCCTCACTATTACCTCTTAAAGCAGAAACGGGGCCCCACCACACAAAGCCCCAGGTCAGTCTCACACACACCTGCTCGTCCAGCCGGACGCTGGCCTGCTGCTGCACCAGCTGCTTGGCCTTTACCCAGGTGGCGATGAGCTGCTGGCGAATGCTGGTGGGCACTACATGCTCGATGTCGCTCCCGCTGGTCAGGTTCAGGGCGAAGTCACAGATCTGCAGGGGTGCATGTCCAGCACAACAGCTCAGCCCAGAGATCATGTCTCCCAGACTTGGGGAGCACTGGAGGTAAGCCAGTGCCCATCAGCCCTTTCCTCTCCTGCACTGTCCCTCTGCCCCCAAGCTGTCACCATGCCTGTGGGCCTCGGTCACCCCAGGGAACACAGAGGAAACTGAGGCAAGAGTGAGCAGTGCAGGAGGAGCTGTTGGTCATGTTGGGGGGCAACAAACCCTGGGGATCCAGGTCCCCCTCTCCCCGCCAGCTGTGCCCCACACCAGCTGTTCTACCCTTCTTCCTCCCCTTGGGACTCTTGATGTCCCTTCCAGTGAGCCTGGCTCCCCCCAGGACCACCCCACAAAGTCTCTTCCCTCCTAAGACAAGGAATCCATGAGGTGGTCTGAGTCTGCAAACCCAGCACTTAACACACCCAAGTGGCCACCCCTGTGCCCAGCACACAGTGCCCGCCCACAGCCCACACACAGAAGGCCCAGTGCCCAGGGGCAAACTGCAAGCATGGTGGCCCAGCAGCATCCCTTCTTGGCCATTGCCTGCCACCCCATTCCCGTTCTGTGCCTCAATGCCCAAGGTGCTCAGTTTCTCTCTCTCATCCGTGGAGCTGGGTGACTGGGCACTGCCCTCCTGGGGGCTCCCTGGCTCCCCTGGTCAGCTCTAGACTAGTCAAGGCATGCACATCTCTTCTGGTTTGCTGATGGCTTTTAGATTTGAAATGGGTGGTGGGTAAGCATATTCTTTTTCAACTTGTGCAGACCACAGTGGCCCCACAGCAGACCCACCCCCAATACTCCTGCAGGAGAGTATGCACACTATCCCTCTGGGCGGCCAAGCTGGTATTTACAGCAGCTGGAATTGAATCACCAGCCCCCAAGACTGTCCCCTTCAGCACAGACCTGGCCCCAGTAGGAGGACCTGCCCCAGGAGGGACCCCAGCATGCCCCGGTGTCACACAGGGCGGTGCTGGTTGCCGCCCACCTCCACCGCCGTGCGGATCTCTGAGGTGGCGCTGGCATCCAGTGCCATGTGCAACGGGTTCCCGCGCGCCAGACGCCGGTTCTTCTCCGATGTCTGGGGGATCCAGGTGAGAATCAGGCCTCGAGCCAGTGTGTTACACACCATCGCCAGGGTCACCAAGTCCCTGGAAAAGAGAGAGGTACAGTGTGGAGGGGGGCCCAGGGTCCACTTGGTGGCCAACTAGGTGTGCACTGTGAGAGGCCACTCAGGTCACTGGTGGGAGGAGCTGTCCTCAGGCCCCATGGGGACAGTCACATCATCACATGGGGTCACTGAGACACTGAGATGGAGCCGAGAGGCAGTAGGCCCTCCCACCGTGCCTTTCATGGGGCTGAGCCTTTCTGTCCAGGGGCCCCTGTGGTACATAGTGCCACTGCTTCACAGGGCCTGGTGGGGCCAGAATGGAAGGCTCAGCAATGGCCAAATGGAACAACAACAATGGTGACCTGCTTCTCACTGGACTGCAGTGACACCACAGTGGCCCAGATGGCCCCTTAGCGTCCAGCAGTGAGTCCTTATGCAGTCTTCATCCTGAGCAAGACGTTATCCCAGGAAAGGCCACTGCCCCTCCTCCCGTGGGAGTGAGAAGGGCTGGAGCATCCCCAAAATGCCTGTTGGACATGGACTGCAGCCTCATGCCCACTGAGACATGTGAGGCCCGCTGGGACAGGTGAGGCCCGCTGGGACAGGTGAGGCCCGCTGGGACAGGTGAGGCCCGCTGGGACAGGTGTGGCCTGCATTGGCGCTCCGCACACAGGGACGCCATCCCACCGCCCCAGGCCGGTCTACTACCCGTGGCCACTCTGTGGCCCACCCACCCATTGTGGCCAGTGGCCCTGAGAATGTTGAGGAGCGTGTAGAGCGGGTCGACGAGTTCGCGCTGGCGGCCAGCAGTGATGAGGTGGTGGTTGTGGTTGAGCACGAAGACTGCCGCATTCTGCACGATCCAGGCCTCCTGCAGCTCCTGCCCGATCTCCGCGGCACGCAGCCAGCTGTTCATGGCGTACTGTGATAGGCTCTCGATCCAAGTGCTGTCCACGGACCGTCCAGTCAGCAAAGGAGGCAGGGGTCGCCGCTCTGAGGACAGGCCCCTTGGCCCAGGTGGCCAGCTCCTGCTCTCAGCTCACAGCCAGTCCCCGACACCTTGTTCCCCCTCACTCTCAGTACCCCCCTGTCAACTGGGTCTGCCCTCACCCAGCATCCACATTTCCAGCCCCCATCACACCCAGCACCTCCATAATCAGCCCGTCACACCCAGCCACCTCCATATGCAGCCCCTAACACATTCCACTTCCTTCAGACTCCACCCCCATCACTCCCAGACCCTATAACACCCAGACTCCATCACATTCAACCCCTATCATACTCAATCCCATCACACTCAGACCCCACTAACACCCAGACCCCATCACACTCAGACCCCACTAACACCCAGACCCCATCACACTCAGACCCCATCACACTCAGACCCCACTAACACCCAGACCCCATCACACCCAGATCCCATAACATCCAGAACCCATCACATTCAACCCCCATCACAACCAGCCCCCATCAAACTCAGTTCCCATTACACCCAGACCCCTTCACACACAGTCCCACCACATCCAGTCTTCCTACTTTCAGTGGTCCCATATCTAGTCCCCTATACCTAGTCCACCCAGTCCCTCCTCCTAGTGCTTCCTGACCTAGTGCTCCCACACCCAGTGTTCCTACACTCAGGCCTTCCAAACTCAGTCCTCTCACACCCAATCACCCCACATCCAGTCCCCTCCACATTCAGCCCTCCCAAACACAGAACTTTCACATCCAGTCCCACAATCAATCTTCCCACTCAATCCTCCCAAACTCAATAAGACCACACAATCAATCCTTCCTACACCCAGTCCTCCCCCCACAGTTCTCCCCCATCCAGTCCTCCTGCCCTCAATCCTCCCACATCCAGTCCTCCCCCATCCAGTCCTCCTGCCCTCAGTCCTCCCACATCCAGTCCTCCTCTCATATCTCCCCCATCCAGTCCTCCTCTCATATCTCCCCCATCCAGTCCTCCTGCCCTCGGTCCTCCCATACCCAGTCCCCCTACACTTACTCCTCCTACACTCAATCCTCTCCCACCCAAGCATCCCCAAAGTTAGTGCTCCCTACTCTCAGTCCTCCCACACACAGTACCTCCTTCACTGTCCCCCAGCCTGCCACATCCAGTGCCCCCCAAACTTAAGTCTCTCTGTCACACTTGGTCTCCTCCACACCAGTCCCTCTCACTCCAGCTCCAGCCCTCACCTAGTTCCTCCCCACCGACTACACCAACACCCAGTCCTCCTTCACATACATTTCCCTACACCTAGTCCCCTGAACACCCAGCCCATCACTCAGCACCCTATGTCCACACTCCACACCTAGGACCACAGCAACAGGGGAGTGGGAGTAGTGGGTCTATGTCTACACAGGGGCTCAGAGAGCCTGTGACTAGAGGATCTTGTCCACCTGGGTTGTTGGGAGCTCATAAGTGGGGTTCTTATTTAACTGGGGTTTTCAGGGGTGTGAGAATAAGGGTCTTGTGTTTCAGGAGGAAAGGGGCATGTGAGTGGGGGGAGGGTCTCATCTACATGAGGGGTTGGAGACATGGACATTGGGGGTCTTGTCTATTTAGGGTACTGGGGCACGTAAAAGGGGTACATGAGTGGAGATCTTATCTATGTAGCAGGTTGAAACACTTGAGTGGAATGTCCTGTCTTCCTAGGGAGTGGTCAGAGATGAATGAGTTGGGGTCTCATCTACCTGGGGTGTCTGAGACATGTGAGTGGAAGTCTTGTCCACCTGTGTGTAAGGGGCATGTGAATGGGGATCTTATGTAGGGGGCTTAGAGGGGTCTCAACCACCTTGAGGTCAGGGGCATATTAGTAGGAGTCTAGTCCATCTGGGGTGTTGGGGACATGAGTGAGGGTCTCATTTACATTAGGAGTTGGGGCACGTGAATGGGGGCCTCACCCACCTGAGGGTCAGGAGCATGTGAGTGGGAGGTCTGGTCTTTCTGGAAGTCTTGATATCACAATGTCTGTTCATATGGACACTTTTATACACATTTTAGACTCAAGGGTTCACAAGCACTGTTGGTACTCCTGGCCATCATGATGGTGGCACTCCAGTGCCTGTCACCCAAAAAGTCCTGGAGAAACTGCTCCTGGCACCTGCCACACAGGGTCACTGTGAGTGCTGGGTCAGCCTGGACATCCCCCTGATTGCAAGCGTCTTATCTGAACTTTCCGCCAGTCCATCCTCCAGGCCCCACTCTCAATGACGATGCGAATACAAGATCATCCAGAGGCTAAACTGACAAACTCTTAAAGGAAAGACAAGTCGTGCTCCTGGACATGATGACAAACGTGATGGCCAGGACACAAGGCTGAGTACTGGCAGCCTGCGAGCTGATGCCAGCTGTCACAAGAGCAAGGCCTATCAGCTGATGTCACCTGTCACAAGGGCCATACCTGTCAACTGATGTCACCTGTTCCAACAGACACACCTGTTAGCTGATGTCCATGGCCAGCTGGGGTAGGCGGCTCCCCTGCACACTGGAGCCAGTGCACCCAGCCTGTCCTGAGACAGGAGGACCTAGCTTGGCCCTGGGCACCATCTGAGGCTGGACACAGTGGAGAGCCCTACCTGTAGGTGATCCACTCTGAATTCTCCTCTGGAGCTTCGGGCATGTAGCCGGCCGGGTGCTGGCTCAAGTCCTCAGGGGGGACAGGGTGGTCATTGAGCTGGACCCCTTCAGACCAAAGGAAGTGGACTGTGGCCTGTAATGTGAGTGCAGTGGGAATGTCACCTGCTGCCTTCCCCTCAATGCCTCTTTACTCAGACCAGGAGGTGAGGATACCTGGCAGCCACAGAGCTGAGGAAGGCATGGTGGTCAAGTCAAGCAACATCATGCTGGGTTCTTCACCCACCGTACACTCTTCTCAGCATGGGTTCTTTCAAAAGCAGCTAGTCCCTATCCTGCCCCTAGAATTAGCCACCACCGGTCACATCATCAGATGGCCAGACGAGAAAGCCTACAGCTCTAACAGCCTCTGCCCCCTAGACACAGGGGAGGGATGCCCCGGAGGTGGGTCCCCATCCGCCAGGTACAGGTGAGGGATGCCCTGGAGCTGCATCAGTGGGACAGAGGTCCACAGAGCAGCCCGTGTTGTCTGTGCCCTCACCAACTGCCCCCTACACCACAGACAACCCTCCACGGGAGGCCCCGTGCAGTTCTGACTCACTGCCCAGAGGACACTTGGACATAAGGAGTGGAATGTGGCTACAAGTGCACATGAGCAAAGATGAGAAGACCACACAGACAGGAGCCATGGACAGAGAGGAGGAACAGGTGTGAGTGGTGGACTAGGAAGATACAGAGAGAAGAAGGGTAGACTGAGACCAAGCATTTGGATGTGTGATGTGGATTGGGCCAATATATGGACATCAACAGTGGACTGGAGGACACAGATGTGCACAGAGGATGGTGGGGACACTGGGACTTGAGAGGCTGACAAGGAATACACTTTCATTGTGACCAGCAGACCTAAGGATGTCACCCAGTGGACAGGGAGGACACACAAAACATGACCAGAATACTGGGAGGACACTCAGACCTTAGCAACGAGCTGGAAGTACAGACAGACGCAAAGAGGAGACACTCAGCATGACAGGAGACCAAAAGGACACTCAGTGACCACGCCTGCACGTACCTCAGCATTGATGAAGCCCACCTCAGCGAACTGGCGCAGCAGGTCAGGGGCTTCCTGCCGATGCAGCGTGAGCTCTGCCTGAAGCCCACTTAAGTGTCCGGTGCTGTCCTGCCCTCGTCTCTTCCTCCCTGAGGGACACAGCACTGTATCCACCAAGGGGCAGCGTCCCTCTGTGAGAAGTTTCCCTGGTCCACATAGGCCTGGCCCTGGGGGTGGGGCCACTCCTGCAGGGGGAGGGCTGGCCGGTCCTCCACCACCAGCTTAGGAACTGCCTACATTCTCCTGGCTCGGCTACCTATCCACCAGGCCACATGCCCTGGGGACCTTCACCTTGACCTATGCCCTTTCATGGGCCATCTCCAAGCCCTTTAGTCCCTGCCCATCACCTGGACCAGAGTCACCTGGCCGCATTCTGAGCTGGACCAGTGTGTGCTTCGTCCTGAGCCTGCCCTGACCCCTTTGCCGGGAAGTCCATTTGTGGGGAGCAGGGAGTGGGGGCTTCCCCACACCAATGGACCAGTCACTCTCTGATGCCTCCCTGCAGACTTTTCCCTCCTGGCACAGGCAGGGGCCAGGCAGGGGGTCCAAGCCCCACCTGGAGTTGGCTCACTCCATGTGGACATCCAGGGTCCCTGTCCTATCCGGGGTCTGGACTGAGGATGATGGAAGTGACACAGTGCGGTAAGCACACAGCAGACATGAACTGGCCACAGCAACAATCCAAGTGTCAATATGGTTATCACCAAGGACACTCACTGTTGCAGCTGTACATGCAGCTGGAAGCACCATGTCACCTTGATGATCCCTGCATTAGAGGGTCTACTGGCCTTCCTGCTGACTCCAGGACCAGTCCGCATGCCCCTGCAAACCTGGCACAGACCTGAGGAGCCTGGATGGCTGGTGTGAGTCCAGGTCCTGTCTGGTCCTCCTTGCCTTCCTGTCCCTAAAAAGGGGGCTGCCGAATTTATGGGGTGTCTGCTCACCACGTGAACCTCGCTTGGCCCTGGATGGCTTCTTCACCTTCACATTGTCATACAGCAGGCAGAACCGGCTGGCTGCCCGGCACACATCCCACACGCCTTGCTTGCGGGACACTTTGGCTAACTCGGCCCAGATCTGTATCCTGTGGGCCAGAGACGCAGGGAGGAGAGACACAGTTATGGCAGGTGGACTGAGGAATGTCTGCTCAGGGCTTCCCGGGAAAGGCCATGGCTGGTTCTGACCTTGAACAGATGGACTCCCCCTGTGGGCTGCTGGGGGTACCCACCTGCTTGGTATGGGTGGCATGGCTCCCTGTTGGGTGCCCGGGTGCACAGGCACCCAGCAGGGGCGGGCAGACGCACCTTTCTTTGTCATTTTCATTTCCCAAGCGTCGTAAATGTCCGGCCGCTTTGTCCACACTGATGATGAAGTGGCGAGCTTTGGCAAAGAGGTAGGAGAACCGGCTCTTGCTCTTTCCCGTGGAGACTGAGAGGCAGAGAGAGACGCACACGGTGAGCCTCTGCCTGGGACTTGCAGCAACAACTCCATGGCCAGCAGAGGCCATGTGAACCTGAGGGCTGACGGAAGCCTCCTGGATTTGTGTGGGCTAGCGGGGGCCACAGCAGCTGCAGGGCTCCACCAGCCACTCTCGAAGAGGCTTCCGCCTGGCCACACAGGGCACTCCCCGGATGCCATCTGCACACTAGTGGAGACAGCCTGATGGCTGGTGTGCTGGATGCTCACCTTTGGCCTGGTTCTCACTGTCCAGAACGATCTGGAAGGCATCAGGTGCCAAAGCCAGGCCAGCAGTGACCAGGAGGGCACGCTTCTTCCGGACACTGTCCTTGGGCATGGCCTTCTTGGCCTGCAGGGAAGAAGACAGGTGAGGAGCCAAGGGAAGCTGCCTCCCGAGTTTCTGGAATCAGGTGTGTAGGTCCTCATACCCCTGACCAAGGCACAGTATGGACAGGCCCCTGAGCAGACGCTGCTTTCTGCTCTGAGCACTGTTTCCCCAGACCTGCTCGATGGCCATGATGGCTTTGTCCTCCGCGCGATGAGGGGACTGGTAGAGCATGGTACACAGCTGCAGGCGGTTGGAAGCCATCCTGAGTGTGTCCTGGTAGAGACCTAGGCTGTCCAGGTGCCTGGCCTTCTCCAGATGCTGCAGGGCAGGCTCCAGGCAGTCCTTGTCCTCCTCGATGTGCGCTAGCTCCATGTGCACTTGGCAGCGCAGCAGCACCATGAGGCTGTGGGCACAGGTGTGTGGATGGCATAGGTGTGGGTGACACAGGTGTGGGTGACACAGGTGTGGACAGCACAGGTGTGTGGATGGCATAGGTGTGGGTGACACAGGTATGGGTGACACAGGTGTGGACAGCATAGGTGTGTGGATGGCACAGGTGTGGGTGACACAGGTGTGGGTGACACAGGTGTGGACAGCACAGGTGTGTGGATGGCACAGGTGTGGATGGCACAGGTGTGGACAGCACAGGTGTAGAGGTGACAAGCATGCATGGCCAAGGGTGAGGAGAGCAGGGGAGGGTACCCTTATGCCCCCTCCACACCCTGAACCATGCCTGCCTCCACCCTGTGGTGTATGAGTTATGCCCACCTGGCAAGGGTCATGCTTCTCCCTGCCTTGTAACAGGAAGCAGAGCCACACAGACAACAGAGACCACGTACTCAGGCATTGCAGCCACAGGGCTATGGGGGCTGGGTGCAGGGCAGCCATCAGAAGGTATATTCAGTCCCACCCATGTGCAGATGCTGGCACATATGCTGATATAGACACAGACATAGGCACAGGTGTGGTGTAAACAAGTGTAGTCATAAGTGTAAACATAGGTGTAGGTGCAAATGCAGATGTGGGTATGGACACAAGTTGAGTGTATTTAGGAACAAGTGTAGGTATAGGGGTACATGATAGAGCTCTGGTGGCCTAGTGGCAAGAAGCTGCACTGTAATCTCAAAGGCAAATGGTTCAAGGCCACTAGCTGCTCTGTGGGAGAAGGATGGGCAATCTCCTTCTGTGCAAATAACTGCCTCTGAAAGCCCACTGGAGGGTCAGCACTGCCTCAACGGTACATAATAACAACAACAGTACAAATGCAGGTGCAGGTATAGGTGTAGACGTAGACATAGGTGTACACGTAGATATAGGTGTAGATGTAGGTATAGGTGTTGACGTGGGTATAGGTGTACATGCAGGGGTAGACATAGGTATAGGTGTTGACATAGGTATAGGTGTACACATAGGTATAGGTGTCCACGTAGGTATAGGTGTAGACGTAGACATAGGTGTAGACATAGGTATAGGTGTAGATGTAGGTGCACACATGGCTGTAAGCACAGGTTTAGACACAGACAACAGGAAGTGGGCCTGAGAGCACCACCTGTTTGTATTCCTCAGTACATGTCTCTAGATCCTGCCATGGTGTTGAGCCAGGTGTGCAGGTCAGTGAGGGTAGAAGATTCAGACAGAAGGGTGTGTGGGGAGAGCTGTGCATTCTTGTTGGACAGTGTCCACCTGCTCATCACAGCAGAAGGATCTGTGTCCAGCTGTGGTCACCCCTGTGCAGAGTGGAGTAGAACTGAGGAGGGCTGGAGTTGGAGTGGGTCAGATACTTGGCTTCCCACAGCCTCTTCCAGACCATGTCCTTTCCTGGCCCCTGAAGACCAGGCCCAGCCTACAGGTGCTCCATGACACCTGGGCCGAGGCCCAGCTAGCCCTCACAGCACTGGTCTTGGCACTGATCCTCTGCACTCACATGGATCTTTCTGCTTGCACCCCTTTTTAGAAAATGCCTTTAATTTTGTACTTCTCTATAATTTCAAAGGGTTCTCCCATAGCCTTCAGCCTCCCAGGGGGATGTGGTGGTGGGTTACCTGTCCATCTTTTCCAGGACCGCCGCAATGCTGGTCAGCGTCTTCCATAGGTGGTGACGCAGGTTATGCTGGAGCAGAGGTAGGCAGGCATTCCACTGTGTGGTGCACACCACCTGCACCAGCTGGGGGTCACCCAGGTGTACAGCACGCTGCAGTACCATGTCCAACCTCTGGATGATGTTCAGCTGAGCCTGCAAACAACACGGTGTCCTCTGTGACCTCTGGGAGCACTCAGGGTGCCAGGCAGAGCAGGGTACCCCTGGGCACATAGTTAGGACCAGACATGGGCCAGGAGACTCTCAGTAGCACAGAACTTTAAACCTCCTGTCCTGAGTCTGTCTTCAAAATGCTCATGGAGGCTCATTTAGAAATAAGCAGCTGGCTCATAGACCCTGGCCTGTTTCAGCGAACACCTGGCTTCTGAGAATTGATTTCTCAGCCGACACCTGTCTACACCGCTTACTGGGCAGTGTGTCCACGGCCCGGACAAGCTCCTTCACTTGGTGCTCAGAGTGCTCTCTGTGGGGTTCTCCAAGGCTTTACAGCTGTCATGGCAACCACGTGGGATAGAGACCATTCCGATCCCCTTATGTTCCATTGTGCCACTTCTCATGGGGAGCTGGGGCACAGGACCACCCTTTATCTCAATACCCAGCAGGCTGCTGCCAGTACTCCTGAGCCAGGTGCAAACCCACCTGTCGGCCACTTGGGGCCTGCGAGCACTGCTGGGGGTGCCTCCCTGCCGCCTCTCTCCCCACCTGCCCACCCTGAGTGAGTGCCTCACCTCCACGGCCACGCGGATGTAGGCTTTAATCTTACTTTCAAGTTTGAAAGCTTCAAATTCACACTCCAGGCATTCTATTTCAATCAGCTTCCCAGGATCCTGGAGGTGGTGAGGGACAGTGAATGCATGGAGGTTTTCAGTGAAACAACTACACTCATTCATGAATCTTAAAGCCCCCTCTTAGGACACCACCAACGTGCTGGGCAGAAATCCAGCACACACCATCCTCAGAGGACACGAGACACACGGGAACAAAGAGATGCTTCAGAAGGAGGACAAACATGCCAGGATTCAGAGGAAAATACTTCTTTCTCAGCAGTTTGCACCTACCAGCTGCTCGATGGGAGAAAGGCAGGCAGTTTCCTTCTACAGAGATTTATGGCCTCTGACACCTGACAGACGGTGACCATGGACTATAACCAACTCCATGGTAGTAGGTTAGGGTTTGGTTAACAGAGGGGAGCAGACAGCTAGCTTCAGTGGACTTTGCAATTCCGAACCTTCAACCACCTGAAGACATGTCGCTGCTTGTTTAAGGCAATGTCTGCCGTCACCTGGTCACTACACAGCTGGTGGCATGGCTGCAGGATGGCTGAGTCTCGGCTGCAGCATGGGGGCTTGGCCAGCAGGGCCGCAATGCCTGGGTGCCAGCCTGCCTCTGGCTGCGTGTCCTACCTGCTCCAACACATGGCCACCAGAGCCACGTCCTGTTGAAGTTCTTGATCCTACTTTAACAAGCATGATATGCTCCAGGGACGGGTCTCCAGATAACATGTCCAAGTATGTGGGGCACTCTGCAAGCAGGCCCTGAAGGAGCATCCCGGCTGGCCCTCTTCCCAGACAGATGTGTTTGTTCTGGCCGTCTGTGGTGTATTCGCTATTCTTCACCCAGGCACCATGCACAGCCAAGATCATGAAGGTGATGCGGCATCAGGCAGTGCTTCCATCTCCTGGACCCACGGTCACGGAGTTTGAGCAGGCTCAGTGGCACTTAGCAACAACAGCAATAACAGTGAGTGAGAGCTGCAGTTCCCTGCATCCTCACCAGCACTTGGCATGGTCAGTCTTCCTTTTAGCCATGCTAATGGGTACATAACAAGTGCTGGCTGTGTGGTGCATGATGTACTGAGTACCAACTGAGGGCTCCACAGTCTGAATTCGCCAACCCCTCTGCAGGAGACAGGTGGCTTCTCCTGTGAAGATTCACAACCGTGGCCCAGGGGAGGCTCACTGAGCAGGAGCTGACCTGACGGCGGTGGATTTGGTTCAGGTTTGGTAGCAGGTGTGGCGCCGGCCTGAGTGCCTTCAGGAAGCATGTTCTCACCGACTGATGGCGCTCAGCACCTTCTCACATGCTTACGTCACTAGTGAAATGTCTGTTCAAAATGACACTGAATTTTTAAAAGTACATGTCTTGTACTATTTAAAGAATTATTGATTTTGACTTGTTGCTGTTGTTGTTAGGTGACATCAAGTCAGCCATGACTCAGAGTAACTATGAGAAATGGATCGACACCTTGCCCCACCATGCCCTATCCTCACCATCTCTCCTAACCTCAAACCCAAAGTCGTGGTCACTGGTCAATCTATAAGGAGCACCAGGATATGCTGACCCTGTGACCATGACAGGAAAGAGACGCATGGAGGACCTTTCTTCCTTTAAATGCCCCTCTAATTTTCCCAGTGTGACATCTTTTCCCAAGGACATGTCCCCCCTGACAACATGTCCAAAGTGAGCTCAAGGGTCATCATCTCATCTCTGAGGGACACCCTGTTTGCACTTCCTCAATGTTTGCTTGTTCTGGAGGCATCCATGACCTATCCAGTCCTGGTCCTCGACACCACAATCCAAATGCTTGAGTTCTTCTGTTACCCTATTCACTAGCATTTCCTCATGAATACGAGGGAAGTGAAACGATCATGGCTTGGAGCAGGGGCATCTTGCTCTTTCAAATGACTCCCTTGCTCTTCAGCACCTTGCCGAGGTCCTTGACAGCAGATTTTCCCACCGTAACATATCTTTTAATTTCTTGACTGCAACTGCCTGTGTGAGTATGGATCCACATACAATGAAGTCATGGACAGCTTTGACCTTTTCTCCATCCATCATGTTGTTGCCTGTTGGCCCAGTTGTGTGGACTCTTGTATCCATGATGTTGAAGTGTAACCCATATTGAAGGTTGTAAAGAAGTTCTTTGCATAGATATTCAGTTGTTGTGTTGTTGTTGTTGAGTACCATCAAGTCAGAACCAAGCCATAGCTGGCCTTCCAGCAGCAGGTTTTCAGAGGCAGTTAATCCCATGGGAGGAGATTGTCCATCCTTCTCCCGCAGAGCAGCTGGTGGATTTGAACCACGTGGCTTCAGGAGTGCCTCTAGATTCTTATCACGAGGCCACTAGAGCTCCCCAAGATGTTCAATACAGCATTCAAAGATATAATACTATACTTAATAAATAATACTATGTTTAGTAATAAAATGAAAATAAATAATATACATACAACATAAACAAAAGTTGTAAGATGAGATTTCAATGTCCAGGAGGGCCTGGGAGAGTGAGTTTATGGCTGTTCACATCGTGTAGCATTAAGATGACTTTGCAAGCACCCGGGAAGATTAGCAGGCCAGAAGGACAGGGCACGAGGCAAAACCACCAAGCACGGTGCCTCCACTGCATAGAACACACCAAGGACACTGGCAGGAATTCCCACCAACATGTGTTTGGGATCTTTGGTGATAGTCTACACATTGTTTCAGAGTCCCACTGCACCAGGTATACCTGCTGTAGGTGCCAGGACTTACTGTCTTCTCCATTCTTTTCAAGTCTAAAATACACCCAGAAGCAATCTCCTCAAACTTCAGGGTCAATGAGAGTCGAGCCAGTTCAAACAGCAGAAGGACCCTGGAAGAACAGACACCAGTCGCCAGCCATTTAGTGTGACAGGGAAGATGGTATGGTGGGACGTGTGAGCAAGGGGCAGGGGACATGGAGCTGTACGGGAGAGAGAAGTACATAACAGCAGAGGGGTGAGGACCTGACGGACAGGCTCTCCACTGCCAGGAGGGAAGGAGGGCCATGGGGCGGGAGGTCTGCTGTACTTGGTGCTTGACAGCCTTCCTGATTCTCCACCCTCTGTCTTGGGTACTGCTGATGGACTCCAAGGGAGTCAGAGACAGGACTGTATCCACTGGGAAAACAGTTTGTTTCTCTTGTCTGCAGGTCAGACGTGGGTGAAGGCCGCTGGAGGGCATGTGGAGCCAGGACTCCAAGGGGGCACGTGGCCTGCCCTGCTCTCGAATGAGGCCCACCCCGCAGTGCAGGGAGGCCGCACACATCTTCTGACTGAACTCTGCCTCCTCCATCTAGTGGCACTGGTGCTCCCATTTCTAGTTGGCACAGAAGCTTGCAACCACTGAAAGCCGAGGCAGAGAAAATCACATGCCCACATTACGCTAAACACCTGTAAATCAGGACCCTCGTGCCACACGTGAGGTGGCAGGTATGGGATGTAGTCAGGGCCACGGTACTGGCTTCACAGACCTAAGTGGAGAATTGAGTGCAGAGAACTTGGGGGCCATCGTGGCTGGACCACAGACTGAGTGGGAGAGCCACACAGGAAGATGGCAGGTGGGTGCGTGGGCCGGTAGCTGGGTGATCATAGCAAATGAGGCAGGGACATCCCCAGGGCTTCTTGTGCCACCAGAGCTCCCTCAGTTTTCCTGCTAACATGGCCTTTTCTCCTGAGGAGCCTATGGTGGATTTGAACTCCCACAGAGGCACAGCTCCCTGCGCCACCAGAGCGCTCCTCTCACCCCCACTCATGCCACTGAGTTAGAACGCACTCATAACTGACCCTCAGTTACGAAAAACTGGGTTAAGAAAAGTGAGTTTTCAGAGGGTGTGAATGACATGGGAGGACAATGACCATCCTTCGCCATGGACATCAGGTGGGTTTAAACCACGTGTCTTTGGAATGTCAGTGCAGCTTCTTAGAGGTTGTCAAATTTAATAAAAAAATAAATACCTAATTAATAGTCAGCCTACAAAAAACCTACTTCAACTACAAAGACATAAATAAGTTAAAAGTTAAATGATGGGATAAAGATATGATAACAGAAGGGGAAGGAAGCTGGAGTGGCCGTGTTCACCTGACTGCAGTTCATCCCAGGAAGGCCAGGCTGGTCTAATTTAACCCACAGACCGCTGTCACTCTTGTTGATGTTAGGTGCTGGCAAGTTGACTACAATTCCTAGCAACCCTCTGAAGCACTCATGCACTGCCTGGACCTGTGTGTCCTCTCTCTCCAGCTCTGGTGCACCTGAGCCCGCTCTAGCCGTCACTGTGCTGGTCCAGCTTGTGAAGGGTCTGTCCTCTCCTTTGCCGACCCTCCACCTTTCCAAGTATGATGTCCTTCTCCATGGACTGGCTTCTCCAAACAACATGTCCAGAGTATGTGTGATGGACTTACAAGACCCTTGCCTCTAAGGAGAGTCCTGGTTACATTTTCTGTAAGACTTATTTGTTAATTCTTTTGGCAGTCCATGGGATATTCAATACCCTTCTCCAACACCACAATGCTAAGGCTTTGATTTTTCTGTCATCTCTATTGTCCAGCTTTCATATACATAGCAAGTAATTAAAAAGACTATGGCTTGAATCAGGTGCACCTTAATCTTTAATCTGACATCATTGCTCCTGAGCATTGACAGTGCCTTTCCCCAATACAACATGTCTTTTGATTTCTTGACCACTGGCAGCAAGGGATTGTGGATCTAAGCAATCATTGGAAACTCCAATCTTTTCTCCATCTCAGGATTTTCCAGTTGGACCATTGGTAAGGATTTTTGCATTCTTGTTGCTGATGTGTAGCCCATACTAAAGGCTTTTGATCTTCAGTAAGTACTTCAAGTCCCCTGCCTTTTCAGCACTCAAGATTGTGTTATCTCCATAACATGGGTGGTTGATGTATCTTCCTCCAATCTTGATGACATACTCTTTCTTCTTCATACAGTCCAGATGCTCAAAATATTTGCTCAGCAGACATATTGAACGGGTATGGAGAAAAGATGCAACCTGCATGGATGAACACCTTTTCTGATTTAAACAGTGTGGTACAGCCTTGTTCTGTATACGACTTGAACCAAGGATAGGCTCCGCATGAGCAATGAAACTCTATGGGAGTCCCGTTCTTCTCACTGTTACCCATAATTCATCCTGATCTACAGAGCCAAATGTCCTTGCATAATCAATAGGACACGGACAGACATGCTTCTGGTAGTCTCTGCCTTCAGCCAAGATCCGTCTGACATCAGCAACGGAACCTCTTGTCCCATGGCCTTTTATGAATCCAGCTTGAATTTCTGGCAGTTTCCTTCAATGTACTTGTAGTATTTTTAAATACCTTTCAGCAAGATTTTATTTGCATGTGATAATAATTACATTAGTTGGATGATTTCCACATTCTGTTAGCTCATTCGTCTTGAGAGTGGAACAACAATAGATCTCTTGCAGTCAGTTAACCAGGTAAATGTCTTTCAAACTTCTTTACATAGAATAGTGAGCACATCCAGGGCAGACTCTGCTTGTTGAAACATGTCAGTTACTATCCTATCAGTTGCCGGGGCCCGAGTTTTCTCTGACGCCTTCAGTGCAGCTTGGGCTTTCCTCTTCATTACTCTTGGCACCTGGTCATATCCTAACCCCTGGCGTGGCTCCGTGTCAATCAGTTCTTCCTGGTCTGTGTATTTCTTCCATCTTCTTTTCATGCTTCATACATCACTCAAGATTTTTATTCTAGAATCCTTTAGTATTGTAACTCAGTGCTTGAATTTGTTCTTCAGTTCTTGCAGTTTGAGTATGTTCTTCCCTTTTGACTTTCTTGCTCCAGCTGTTTGCACATTTTACTGTACTTTGTCTTCTCGAGCTGCCTAGGACCCTTCTGTTCATCTCTTAACTTAGCTCTCCTTTCATTTTGGCTGCTTTTTGTTCCAGTGCAGGTGTTAGATTCCTCTGACATCCACTGACTTTTTCCTTCCCTTCCTGTCTTTGAAGTGCTCTTCTGTTTTCTTCTCAAGTGCCATCCTATACATTGTCTAATCTTCAGTCATTAGTGTTCAACAGATTAAGTCTATTCTTGAGGTGGCTTTTAAATTCAGGTGGGGTAAATTCAGGGTCATATTTTGGCTTTCATGGCCTTGTTTTCATTTTCTTCACTAACGTCATATGAGTCCTGTTGGTCATTTCCACAGCTGACCACTGGCCTTCCTTGCCTCAGATACTGAGCTTTCCCACCTACGCTTTCTATAGATGCAGTCACTTTGATTCCTGTGTATTCCATCAGGCAAGGCCCAGGTATACAGCCAACTTAAAGGCATTTTTAACAGTATTTGCAGTTAATAAATCAGTAGGAATTGACTCAATGAGAGCGGGCTTGTGTTTTGAGCTCCACTGGTGGAGTCCAGGGAATTTTGCTGCTAGGCCAAAGGCCTGACCTCTGAACCCACAGGCCCTTCACTGAAAACAGGTGGGCAGTCTCGGCCCGGGAGCCTTGGCAATCCCGACAGTCAGCAATGAGGCAGGTCTGGCTTGAGGGCAGTGAGTCTGAGTAAAAAATTTGATCACCTGATGACCTGGCTTTGATGACCTGGCTTCACTTCTGTCGCCTAGGTCATTGTGTTCCAATTATCAGTCCTTTTCCTTTGCTTCCAACTTTTGCATTCTAGTCACCAATTCTTATTAAAGCATCTGGAGTGCATATTCAGCCAACTTCAGACCGCGGAGGGAAAAGCCCACCTCACTGCTGTCTAGTCTGAAAGAACTAGCTGGCTGTCCGGTGAGGTTTTGGAAGCCGTAAATAGTGTGGGAGGAGACCACTTCTGAGGGGCAGCTGGGGGACTGGAACCATCAGCCCTTGGGTTCACTGTGCAACTTTCTACCTGCTAGGCCACCAGAGCCCCACAGATAGCAGAAGCTGTTGGAAATCTACTTTTTCCTCTTTGCTTTTGTAGTTGGTGGTATATTTGAATAGTGGTATATTAGGCTACGTTGGCCTAGTAGACAGAAAGTTATGCTACCAAGCCCAAGGTGGGTAATTTTAATCTGCAGCTCTCAGGCCTGGTTCAAACTGTTTTTCTGTCAAACATTTTTCTAGGTGGTATAACACTGTCTGTCCACTTGCGGTACAGAGGTAACTTGTGGTGGCTGTGATGCTAAACTCTGTGACACTGATGTGTCAAATGTGACAATGGTTACCCATGGTGGACAGTGTTAGGTGGAGTTTCCCAATTAAAACAAACTTGGAAGCAGGAGTGGCATCCACTTCCGAAATGGCTTGCCTCCAGAAACTCTATGAACAGTGCTCAGGCCTTTCATTCACAGGATCGCTATGAGTCATCTACGACTCGACAGCACCTAACAACAACAACATATTAGCAAGTCTTCCCGGCATGTGGATGTGTGTCACCAGTGACTGACAGGGAAGCTGGATGTGGCCACGTTGTTGTTGCCCACGGTGGGGCTGGTTCTGACTCAGCTGCCTCCCTTCACATCCGTACACTTGAAGTCAGGAAAAACATGAGCATTCTTTTTAAAGATGTAGACAGTAGGGGATTGTATACCAATGAAAGAATTTTTCTTTTACTTTTCAAAGAGAGGAGCGAACTGGGGGTGGGGAGGGGTGGGCAGGGAGAAAAGTGCAACAATTAATGAATAGAAATAAAAAAAAATCTCTGTAAACGTTCATTAAAATTAATTTAAAAAATTAATCATAAAAAAGAGATGTAGACAGTAAATTCTAGCCCACAAATCTGCATACTTTAAAAGCAATACAAGAGCTTTAAAAGCAAAGGCAATACCATAGAAACCTGTGTGTCTGCACCTTCCTTCCTGGCACAGACTGAGGACCAGTCTCTCACGTTTATAGCAGTGAAGTCCCAGCCCAGGAGTAACTTGCTTCTAACCAACGGAAGGCCTTGATTTTTAAGCCAGTGGAAGACCTCTGTGTTCTAGGCAACCGAGAGCTTAATTTTCCAGCCACTGCAAAGTGTCCACATTCCAGGCAGGGGAAGGCTTTCTGTTATAGCAATTGAAGGCTCTCCCTTGGGCCGTGTGTCCTCATGGATTCTCTTCCTATCATCTTTGCTGGTTTTGTCAAGCCAGCTGTGACTGGAGACTAGAGATTACCCAATAAGCAAAGCAAACACAGACCAGTAGTAAGAAACTGCACTTCACTCCCAAAGGCACACAGTTCGAATCCACCAGCTGCTCTGCGGGAGACAGATAGGCAGTCTCCTCCCATGTGATTTACAGTCTCAGAAAGACACTTCACAGACCTTTCCAAGGACTAGGTGGGTGGACTAGGTGGGTGTGACACGGGTGTACTCACTTTTCTTCCCTGGCCGACGGTGAGTGCTGGTGGCTGTACTGACCTAGGAGCTTATAGATGCCCTGCAGAACGGTACCCACATTCTCCAGAGAGTCGTTTCTCCTCAGCTTTCTAGAATTAATTCAAACACAATAACCAAAACTCTAGTTAGACTTATACAAGTTATTTTAAAAGAAACTCTAATTGTTTAAGAGTCTTGCTCTCAGCAGACAGAGTGGCCAACACAAAGCCCTTGTCACTCCCTCCCTGAAGTGGGGCGTAGGTGATACTCTGTTTCTCTCCCCTCCTGCTCTCCCCACTGATGGCCTTTCCTCCTACACCACTGACAATGGCAAATGGAAACCGAGCACAAGCCCTGCTGCGCACTGGCCCTTCCCACCAGGCCAGTCAGGGGCAGCGTGGCCACCTGCACAGCCCCCCTCAGAAACACAGATGTGCCCGCCTCAGCTCCTACTCTCACCAGCCTCTGCCTCCCTGACTCACTCGTACCTTCATGACACTCACTCACTCCTGCTCTCCTCAGACAGACCTGTGTCCTCCTCACACCCACACCGTGTTCTCACACTCACTCCGTGTTCTCACACCCACACCGTGTCCTCACACCCACACCATGTACTCACACCGTGTTCTCACACCCACACCGTGTCCTCACACCCACACCATGTCCTCACACTCACACCATGTACTCACACCGTGT